TAAGCGAACTCGATCTATTTCGAATATGGTTTCCAAAAATTCATTAATTGTTTCAACATAATTTGAAGAAGAAGAAGATTTGCCTAAAAAAAACAAATTGCCTACTAATCTCCCTTAAAATTAAATCAAAATCGAAATTGTCAATAAAGTTCAATCTAACTATGATCATTAACAAAATAAATATGCAAAGTTTAAGGCTTAAAATAATGAAACTTATCAGAGAAGTGAAAATTAAGAATTGAATAGTCTTCGACAGTCATTATTTTCTATAATTGAGAATAGCAGAGTTTAGAGGCATAAATTTTACTAATTAGGAAACACAGATTAATAATTGTAATTATTGGAATAATTATATTTATAAAATGAAAAGATTGTTCGAAATTATGTATAAATTAGATAGGAAGCTTAAGAAATTGATTTAAAAGTTAAGTCCCTCTCAAATCAAAGAAAGCAATTTAAAATATAGTGATTCTCTTTTTGTAAATTGTATTTCATGTAATCATTTAAATTATTAAGGTTCATCATCATCATCTTTTCTATTTTACAAATTCTACTCTACAATTTATTTCATGTAATTGAATCTCTTTTAGTAATTGTCGTCTTTTATTAATTTTTCATATTTCCCCAAAACCTTATTAATCTCATACTTGACACAAATCTTATCTTCCAACTTTTCAGCATTATTCAACTCTAAACCTAAGTCAAAAGTAAATTAATCAATATCGTTGAATTCATTTACAATAGTCTAATAATCTAATTAGAGATTATAACTATACTTTATTCTAAATTCCAATCGAAATTCTCACCCCATAATTAATCCTACATTATTTCAACTAGAGTTGGTCTATCTGATGAATTTTTTTAAAGCATCTTTCGAATTAGATTTCTAAATTATTCATTGTCTATCCATCCTTCTGGAAATTGAAGTTCTGTTTCTAATGCTTATTAAAACACCAAGTAATCACTTTTCCCATCAAAGGGATACTTACCAAAAACAATATGATAAAATAGGACACCTAATGAATAAATATCTGATTTCTCATTGGAATCTTTATTTCGGATGCATTCAGGTGCCATAAATTAGGGAGTTCCCACAAAATGTTTAAAAGCCTATTTTCCTATGAAATTAATTCTGATTTTATTACCTTTTCTCCCATTTCCGCTTCCTTCAATAGTTGGATCATTCATGTCTCTTGCTGTTCCAAAATCAATAAACTTAATTTTTTTATCTTATGTTAATAGGATGTTCTCACTCTTTATATCCCTATGAACAATTCCAAATTTATGGATAGAATTTATTGCTTTTATCAAATTAAAAATTACCTTTAATTATTTCACTAATATAGTAAAGACAAAGTGGAAAAGCTTTGGCTCCAAAATTATGGATTTGTTGCCATAACTCTCCACCATCAACATACTGCAATAGCATGTAAAGATTTTCATCATCTTGAAATGTTGAATATAGCCTAATCACATAAGGATTTTCTGTAAGTTTGCCTAAACAATGTTTTTCCATATAAACATCTTTTTCCTTGTTTACTTAAGTTAGCTTTCTTTTATTTATTTATTTTAATGCATAGATTTAATTGGTTTCAATTTCTCGAACCTTATAAATATCTGAAAAATTTCCATGACCTAAAACTTCAAAATCTGCAAAATCTTCTATTGCTTTCTTTCCTTATGCTTTTCTTTCAGCTCTCTATTTTTCTCTCTGTTATTTTAATTGTATTTCAGAACAAATAAATTTATGTTCTTTCCAGTCTTTTTTTTGGCATTCAATTGAGCAATAATAAATTGATTTGCAAGAAGAACATCTTGATAATTCTACATCCTATTTCTTACAAACCTAACAGCTTTTTTAATCTTATTCTATATCAGAACGCATAATTTTTGTTATTTGAATTAATAAATATATAATAATGTAATATGCTATTTTAAAAGATAATTTAATGATTTTTAGTATTAAATTTAAGTTAATTTTATGCGTTATTTGAACGATGATTATTTTTTCCATGAATCATTAGATTTAAGTAATAAAAATATATAGTTGGTAATAAATTCTTTAATCATTTAGCTTTTAAATTTTATAATAATAACATTGGGACGTTGAATCGCTAGTATTAATTCCTGACGTTAAAAATCTTTCTCTAAAATAATTTTTTATTTTATTATATAATATTTTAATATTGTAATATGAATGCTAACCCAAAAGATGCATTTTCAGTTTCCTTATCAAAATTTCATCGAAAAAGTGTTCATTCTTAAATGGCAAACACAAGTGGATTAAACTAGCTAAGTGATGTTCCTAATACTCCACTTCCTGAATTAAAAGGTAGAGGATTGCAAAGTGCAAAGATTAAAGCATCCCCCAAAAGATCTCCTCATATTTTAAAATTTTATGTTCATGACTCATAATGTATACTAAATGATCCTATAAAAAAAGCTAATGTAGTATTTAGTTTTATTTATGGATATAGAGAAGATATGAGAACTAATCTGAGTATGTATTTGTGGACACTTACTTAGATGCTTTACAAATGATTGCTTAAGAAGAAAAGAAGATTAAATATGCTAATGGACAGACCATACAATCTGAAGAATTTTCAGAACAATAAATTTCAACAAATCCTCAACCTACTTTACCTAATTTACCAGCTTAATTAATAAGAGAAAGAATGAGAGTTTATGCATAAAGCTAATAAAAAGAACCTTAATTTAGTAGTTCTTAAATTATATATTAGAAGAATCTCAATTAGAATAGAGAGAGCCTAAGAAAGTAATCAAAACAGCAACAACCCTAATGACCTAAAAGATTTTCCCAAACAAACTTACTTTATCATTATCAGTTCATTAAGCTATACCCTCTATTAAAAATAAAGTTAGCGCTAAAAGATGGGTCATGTTTACTAAATAAAAAAATGAAAAATGTTTTAATAAATTAGTTGGATGGCAAGAATTTTAAAAAGGGGAGGTAGCCAGTATAACAAAAATAATGACTTGTTATACTACATTAATATTTTTGAAAGAGTAAAATATTGAGTCTGATTAAATCAAAATCAAAATTCCAGGCCATGCTGAATGTATTGATGGAACAAGTGCCTTTTTAAATGCAGGAGGTATACTAACAATTAAACAATTACTATTCGCTCTTATGTTACCTTCTGGAAATGATGCAGCACTGGTTTTGAGTTTTACTATAGCGTATTTGATGATACTACAAAAGACAGAGATTTATTAATATAATCGGTATTTGAAAGGCGCGATTATCGATATAGAACCATAGATTGAAAGGAGCAAGAAGTTACTTAAGCATACATTCCTCGATCAAATGAATAAGCATGCAAATTCAATCAAAATGGAAAACACAAATTATTCATCTGTTCATGGTTTGAATGATGAAAAAAATGTATCATGTCCTCATGATATTAGGTATGCTTATTTCCATATTTATTAGTAAGTTAATAGAAAAATGTATTTAATTGGAAGTATTCCTTGAGATCATAACAACCAAAATATATAAAACTCATGCTTTAACTGATAAAGGGAACAAATCAACTTTTTATAAATGGAAAAATACAAACAAACTTCTAAAAAAGTCTGGCTGGATGGGAGTAAAGACAGGAGTTACTCCTAATGCAGGACCATGCTTCACAGGATATTTTAAAAATGATAATCTAGAAGCAATAATCGTTGTTTTGAATTGTTCATCGATGAACTAAAGATTTAGAGATGCAGAAGTATTACTTGTTTCAGCTTAAAAATGAGAAAATTAATTAATTTATCTATTTATTAAATGTATAAATAATTATTTAGATATTAATGATTACTTAAGATTGAATTTGCAATTAATTTAGTGTTTTTAATATTAGAAATTTGCAAATATCTTTTCAATAAGTCAAAATAGGACTATTATTTCATAAATATTATTCAAGCCACTTTCAACCATCTAAATAAATTTAAAGAACAATCAAAAAATTGAAAGAAAATTATAGGAATTAGATCTAAAAGTTATCAAAAGGGACTTCAATAGAATGATAAATATGAAATTTCACTAGTGGAAAAATTCTAATTATTGAAGAGTTTTAAAACTATTATCTCATCTTTAAGCTCTTAATAGATAAAAAATCAAAATATATTTCATTTAAAACAATCATACTATCTGTTAAGACATCTTAAATTTATTTTGAAAGAAATTTCTAACAAAACCATAATACAGTTTTACTCCAAACTACAATTAGCTTTCAAAAACTTTTTGATTTCTTTCTGAATATTGAAATGAAGATCCTACAGCAAAAATGAAGAGGATATAACAGAATCAATTTTATCTTTCATAAATTTCTTATTTGTTTTAAATAATAAGAAACATTTACTTCCTCGTCTACTCTTATTTTTTTTAATTGCTTTATTATTTGATTAAATCCTTTCTTTATATTATAATGTGGCTATAATCACCTTTAAACCTCTCTAAGTGCCATTTAATGCATTGGAAATGATGAAAAATTAATTAGGACTTGATAAGTATTTCAATTGGCCTAATTTATTAATTATCTCTTCAACAAATTTGTAAGGCTTTCCTTAAAACAAGTCAAGTTACTTAAATGGAACATTTCCACCACAGTTTGATTACTGCTTTGAATATCCTAAAATTATTACTTCTAGGTTAATTCCTTTGCCTTAAACTAAGAAGTACTTTACATTAGGGTTCTTATCTAGTTGTTCATGAGTTCAATCTTGAATTTATTCTTTTGGCTTATTGATTTAGAAAATCTAAAATTATTTGAAATTTTGAATGAGTCTTAATACCAAAAATAAGATGCTTGAAAATATTTGGAGAGAATGGCTGAGAAATATAAGACATAGATATAAATAAATCACATAGTGCAATAGATACGAGTAAATCATATTTCTTAAACATGAAGTTTTTATAAAAGATTTGTTATTTAATTAGATTACCTACCTAAGTAATTTACTTTTTTGTCGATAAATAAGTTGAAATGTTAATGAACATACTATTTTTTTTTCTTATAAATTTGGTTGAACTAAGTGAGCTTAATTTAAATAAACTTATTGTTCAAATTAACCAACGATTAATTTGCAAATCAGTTATTACCATTAATAGTAGTTATATTAACTCTATCCGTTTATGGGATGTCAAAACAGGATAATAAAAAGCCAAATTAGATGGTCTTAGTAGTTATGTCTACTCAGTCTGTTTCTCTCCTGATGGAAATACATTAGCTTCTGGTAGTTATGATTACTCTATCCGTCTATGGGATGTCAAAACAGGATAATAAAAAGCCAAATTAGATGGTCATAGTAGTTATGTCTACTCAGTCTGTTTCTCTCCTGATGGAAATACATTAGCTTCTGGTAGTTATGATTACTCTATCCGTCTATGGGATGTCAAAACAGGATAATAAAAAGCCAAATTAGATGGTCATAGTAGTTATGTCTACTCAGTCTGTTTCTCTCCTGATGGAAATACATTAGCTTCTGGTAGTTATGATTACTCTATCCGTCTATGGGATGTCAAAACAGGATAATAAAAAGCCAAATTAGATGGTCATAGTAGTTATGTCTACTCAGTCTGTTTCTCTCCTGATGGAAATACATTAGCTTCTGGTAGTTATGATTACTCTATCCGTCTATGGGATGTCAAAACAGGATAATAAAAAGCCAAATTAGATGGTCATAGTAGTTATGTCTACTCAGTCTGTTTCTCTCCTGATGGAAATACATTAGCTTCTGGTAGTTATGATTACTCTATCCGTCTATGGGATGTCAAAACAGGATAATAAAAAGCCAAATTAGATGGTCATAGTAGTTATGTCTACTCAGTCTGTTTCTCTCCTGATGGAAATACATTAGCTTCTGGTAGTTATGATTACTCTATCCGTCTATGGGATGTCAAAACAGGATAATAAAAAGCCAAATTAGATGGTCATACTAGTTATGTCTACTCAGTCTGTTTCTCTCCTGATGGAAATACATTAGCTTCTGGTAGTTATGATAAGTCTATCCGTCTATGGGATGTCAAAACAGGATAATAAAAAGCCAAATTAGATGGTCATAGTAATTATGTTAGATCAGTCTGTTTCTCTCCTGATGGAAATACATTAGCTTCTGGTAGTGATGATAAGTCTATCCGTCTATGGGATGTCAAAACAGGATAATAAAAAGCCAAATTAGATGGTCATAGTAATTGTATCAACTCAGTCTGTTTCTCTCCTGATGGAAATACATTAGCTTCTGGTAGTAATGATAAGTCTATCCGTCTATGGGATGTCAAAACAGGATAATAAAAAGCCAAATTAGATGGGCATAGTAATTGTATTAACTCAGTCTGTTTCTCTCATGACGGAAAAACATTAGCTTCTTGTAGTTAGGATAACTCTATCCGTCTATGGTCTGTAAAGACAGGATAAGAAATAATATCCTCTGATAAAAACTACAAAGATATTCTTTCATAATTTAAGATTCCACTCCAATAACCTAGCCATATTTCCGAAAGTACTATTTATCTTCGATCATATTTTTAGCCTCCAATTATATCACTACCCTCCTAATATCTTAATCCGCTATATTCTAAGCATAAGGAGCACTTGTTCTCAAAGGAGAATTCATTAATCATCAAGGCACTGATTTGAGACCTTTATTGAAATCCAAAGGTAGTTGCTTTTTGGAAAACCTTACGTAAAAGTGATAATTATTATTTATCGACAACATTACAATTATTATTTTAATTCATTCTTTATATTTTTTTAATTATATCTTTTTTTTGCTTTATTCTTAATTTTGATTTCTTAAGATTCATACAAGTTTTTCAAAATTATTCCATTTTAAGGAAATGTAGGGTATATTTATTGAGATCTACTTATCAAAAAACTGATATTAATTAATGTTTATAGAGATTTAATGTTAAGTGATACTACATTAAATTAATAATCAAAACAGAGAACAGTATGCACAGATTTGAAGTGATTAAAATAATTTTAATTACTTAATTGAAAACTAACTTAACAAAACTGCATGATTATTTCATAAGATATTCTGATTATTTATTTAATTTATTACTTTTTATAAACATAAGTCTTAATAGATATAATTAAGAATTTTGTAAAATTAATTTATAAATAGTAAAAGATATATTTAATAAAAAAGATA